TATTGGGGGGGGGGGGTGTCTCTATTATTTTTTTTCTTTTGCTGGAGTTGGCACCCTATTTAGTTGTTTATATTCCACTAAGTACTCTTAAATCCAGAATAGTAGGATGGTGTAGGTTAAGTTATTAGATTGATCAGTTTTGCTGAACTATGAATATTTTGTGGTGTATTTTTGCATACAGGTTAACAGAATACTTATGGTTTCTTTTTAAACTTGAGTATGAATATACAAAATGCAGCAATATTTAAAAAAAACATTTTTATGATTATGAAATACCCTATAGAGATTGAAAATGTGACGTCATTCCAGGGTAAAACCGCAAAGGATCTGGAACTCATGGCAAAAGGTACTAGTGCACGCAGGCTTTCAATTGAAATCAGTTACACAGCCGATAAAATAAACAAAGATGTTCAAGAAGCTGTTATTGTAACTGCAATAGCCAGTCGCATGACAGCCACGGGAAGCCGATGGTAAGAGATCGTTGTTATCGGATTACGTCGTTGAAGAAATTGTTCGAGCCATGTTTCCGAAGTAAACAACGGCACGGATGGCCTGGATCAGCCATTTCAAAGACCAAATATAACGTCCCAGAACACTCCAGCTCATGTTATCTGCTCCAAGCATCCACAAAGGTCAGTGTTTTGTAGTAATTAATACGTCATTTCTTAAATAATGGTGATATAGTTACAAGCAGTTGGCTGACAGAAATTGCGCGCTATGCTCCTTTGTTTATTGTGCATAAATACTGAATGTCCGACACAATATTGTGTTTCGCTTCTGTTATTACATGGTACATTGACAAAAACATATACTTTATTCACAGGGTAAAACAGGTTTTTTTGTATCACCAATTGCCCAGTGCGATTACAGCATACAATATTGTTTCACTGCTACATTCTGTAATGCGTACCAGAAATTTTCCACTACTATTAATTACGTTGAGCTTAAAGGTCCTATTAATAAACGTAACGAATGTGTATTATGAAGACGATTTGTGAGACTGGTAAACTTATGATAGGTACGATGGTCTTTCGTTCTACACGGTGCATTTCAAGGTCCTGTACCCATCCGTCTGTACACTGTACCTGGGCTTGTTGCAGTGACCTGAAGTTACTAAACTTCATGAGAGTATGCACTCACTCCAAGAACCGTATAATTATAAATATGAGCGTGGTGAAAGTTGGGCAGCACGCTAACGTCTTTTGTCCACTCTGTGTGCTCGTAAGGGTCTAACCCTTTCACTCCTTTGATTTTTTCCTCGTATCTTTTCTTTGACTTTCATCAAGTCTGTCTTTGTACGGACTGGCATTGTTCTCCTTCGTTGTGTACATTACTTTTTCGGGGGACAAAGAACAAGCAAGAAGGTATTGGAACCGGAGAATGAACGTTTTCAGGTGCTGAAAATGCTTGCATTTGATGCGGTACTTGGATTGTTTTGCCACGAGTTCCCGGCACGCAATGCGCGAAAGTCACGTGGTCTGTCAATCTCTATATCGGATTTATATCGGTATCGGCAGATATCCAAATTTATGATATCGGTATCGGACATAAAAAGTGGTATCGTGCCATCTCTACATCATAATATCATTGGTAACTTTAAGCACTGCTGTTTCTAGATTCTTGCTTAGAGCTAAAGTTGAGATAAAAAAAAAAAGACACAACTATGGTCACATGGACACATTGCTATTGTTGTTTTATTACTTACTTAATCAATATATAATATTTAACCTTTTTGTGTGGCATCTAAAACCCATAGACTTTTCACTGTGAAGATGACGTGACATTTTATAACATATTTTTAAAATTAACAGACAGTATGTTGAAATGAAAAGACCCAGAAACAGGCAAAAAAAAGAAAATCATTTAACCAGGAGGAGTCTGCTGGTCTTTGCTGGATCGTTGTCTACCACGATTGCTGGATCGTGGTAGACAACAATCAGTGAGACTCAAGCTACAGCTCAAGCTAAGTCAAGTGTCTATTGTGAAAGTTGTAACTCATTCTCGTTTCCTTGCCTACAGACCTCCTGGATAACCTTCCTGTGTGAATCTTGTGTCAGTGGGAAAAGAACTGCGGTCGTGAGTGTGGAGAGTTGGAGAACGAGAGATTCCCCCTTTGATTTCCTGGAGCCCCGTCCCCCACATTGTATATAGCACTGCCTGCACTTCCTTTAATACACTGGTGAACTCTGGTAAATAAATCTTGTGTTCAGCTGATTCTGGAGTCCTGCGCTGAGTTCCACGTTGAACTGTAACAGACTGAAGAAAAATGCTAATCTGGATATCATTATATTAGAGGAAAACTGAAAAACTATCAATTAAAAATGTCATCCATCATTCTATTAATCCATGGATAGTACACTGCTGCAGTGTAATTTGACATTGGATCATGTTAGCAGTAGATAGCTAAAAATAATTTATTAAGTGATTAAACCTATAACAGAATTAAATTCAGGAAGGATGAATGGGATGGAAGTATCTGCTGAATCAGTAAGCAAATGCTAAGCTGTTAGAGCATTAGATACTGTTAACTAAAACTAATGGATTCAGATAAACTAATTTTACCTTAGGTCCTTAGATTAAGGGTGTATTCTGTGGTGCTTTTACCTCGATATTACATATTATCAGGGTTTTAGTGTAGAAAAAATACATAAACAAAAGCAAAAATATTTTGAGATACCAATATATTTAATAGCTTTCTTATTTATTTATTTATTGTGATTATACAGTTTGTACTATGACATTTTCTTTCAAGTCTTTCAAAATCTTGTCAGGCGTTATCACTCAAAAGTTTAATAGTCATAAAAGTATAGGCATAATATGTTATGTACACTCAAAAAGTGAAATTGAATGGTTATTGCATTTACAAGTCTCTAACAAAATCCGAGGTTTCCAAGGTGAACTTAATTAAATCATCAGTGTTGGTCAAGTTACTTGAAAAAAGTAATCTGTAACTAATTACTGATTACTTCCCCCAAAAAGTAATCCCGTTACTTTACTGATTACTTATTTTCAAAGTAATTAATTACTTAGTTACTTAGTTACTTTTTAAAAACACGATTTACAACCTGAAGAGGTGATAAAGCGATAGCTCTTTCAGCCCAATTCTACTTTTTCTACATAATCCATCATACAAAATGTAATCAAATGGAAAAGTCTCTTTATTTTTTACTTGTTTTATCAGTTTTAATCTTTTAACTTTATGCATCAAGCAAAAATTTAATTATATGCAACATTCTCTGACTTGAATAAATTAGTTTAACATTTAAACCTATTTTCTGCACATTCCAGCACATAAAATAAAATATTTTTTGTGTTTACACTCACTCTTTCAAATAGATGCAAGTAAAACACAGCAGAAAATAAATAAAGTCAAAGACTCAGCGGTCCTGTTGCTCTATTTTCACCTGTAAAGCAGGACTGGGGTAGGCGGACGATCTGATTTCCTCGTGTCAGCATTGTTCCCACATCATAATTAATGTTGTTCCAGGTTCAACATTGCAAGTGACCAATCACCTTCTTGTGACGTCATTCCTTTGCGACTTCGAAATACCCGCCTTCGATTATTTCGAAATACAAGTGAAGAAGCGAAAAACCGCCGCCTGTCCGCCGAATTTGAAGTCAATTCGCCTGTCCGCCGAAATTGAAGTCAATTAGGATACTTTCCTTTAATAAACGGTAAACATTATACATATGTTCCTCACTTGGCTTGCTGTTTTGTTGCTAGCGATAGGCTACTGACGACAGCATTAGCTAACCAGTGTTCTCTAGACCAGCGTTCCCCAACTTTTTGGGTGTTTCGTGGCCGGGGTTGGGTCAGCAAAATTGCAGTAGCTTCCCTGATCATTTTACAAACATAATGAAGAGAATCTGGACTAAAAGGCCTAGACTTATGGTTGTGTGCTGAATCTATGAATCAAACTATCACTGGAAACATAATTAACTGGTCCATAGCTGTGAAACTGGACATGAGTTCTTGATCTATGGAGATTAACAGAATCCAGAAATTTACAATTGTCCTGGTACATCGGCGTAAATGTTGTCCAGGGACATCGCGTAATGTTGTCCTGGGACATTGTGTAAATGTTGTCCCTGGGACATATGGTAGAAGTTGCCCTGGACATCGTGTAGATGTGTCCCTGGGAATCGTGTAAAGTTGTCCCTGGACATCGTTAGATGTTGTCCCTGGGACATCGTGTGATAGCTTGTAAATAATGGAATAAATTATTGATTGTTATTAATTTGTGAAAAAGAAGTGTAACAATCCAATGTTTGTTTTACACCTTACAGAACTGTGACTCCTTCACAATTAAGTTAAATGTCAACTCATGTTGAATAATCAAACAATCAAAGCCTTTTATTATCACATGCAATGTTAACGTCACTGCAATGAAAATTTCACCCTTCTGATACATAATATGCTTAAATCACATTGGAAGACAGGTCGGAAACAGTTGAGAAGGTAGAAAATTTAATTAATAGATGAGGGAGAGGAGGAGAAAAGGAACTAACAAGACAAGCTCCTAGAAGACTGAATGGAATGATGTTGCAGCATGCAAAAGAAATGATATCTGTGGACTATAAGATATGCTTTCTCACAGATTCCTTGGGAGTAGCTGGACCAAACTCTATTGGTATTTCAAGTTTGAAATCCTGTTTGACCAGACTAACATTTTCAGATGAAGGTACCTTTGACATAAAAAATCTTTTATGTTGTCATAAACTAATGTTAATTCTGCTTTTAAATACACTTTATTGTACAATTTACTTAATGAATCGTATTCCTTGTTTGTTTTTATTTATATGTATTTATTTATTTGTTTTATAAGGTAATAGATGGCCTAATCTATTTGCCAGTGTGAGGTATGTTGAAAAGCTTGTTTGATCATAATGACATAGCATGGTTTACGTTTTTTGTAATGTATTTGAAACATAGGTGTATTTATGTTATTTTTATAGAATTCCCTCACATTATCCAATACCAAGCCAAATCACTGGAAAAATTTGGATGGGTCCACAAGAGCACAAAGTGCATACTTTTTGAAGGTATGACTTGGACTGTGGTAACTATGTTCTTATCACAAAGGGTTTATAAGTTGCCACTATAAACAAACAGCATTTTCCAAAATTGAAGCCTTGTCAGAAGAACCTGAAAAATACCTTTCTGAAACCTTTTCTGTGTAAAGACTTGTTCAAAAGCAATGCACACAGATTAAAACATTTCTGTCTTGGCCAACTGATAATGTCGTGGTCGCTGTGTGGCAGGCAGGATGAGGACCCAAAATGCAAACTCACGGACTCAGGGGATAAACTCAAAATGCAGCTTTATTGCTGACAGGTGACAAACGAAAGCAGTGATACCAAAGCAATACAAAACTAAACTACACTGGGAAAAGCTAATTGTAACATATACCAGAAGACACGGGGAGAACCACACACAGCATGAGGGAGAACGCGAACGCCGAGCAGAGGGAGACGCAGACAGAAATACACAGAGGGTTAACGAGGAAAGTGGGAACACACGGGGAACACAGCTGACACAGATAACCATAACGAGACAGGGCGGGGTGAACATAACACTGACGGGAGACGGGCAGAGTCAAACAGGAAGTACAGAGGTTCAGACAGGAGGAGAGAGAGCACGGGGAAAACACAGACATAACGGGCTGGGGAAACATGGAATAAAACATAAGGAGAGACGAGGGCTCACAGATACACAGAGGGGCACACAGGGGGTAAAAGCCACGAAGGGAAAACACTTAGGGAACAACACAACAGGGCAACTCAGGAAACATGGCCTAAATAGGGAACAAAATACAAACATACAAGAAAACTAAGAATACTGGGCCAACATGGCCCAGGACCATGACAGATAAAGAACACCAAAAATTGAGTGGTGCGTGTTGAGTCTGTGGTCTTGATTTGTTTTGTACACACTATAGAAATTAATTAATGTAAACCAAAAATGACACTTTCTATATGTTTGTGTATCTGCAGAATTAATTACAAGTCTCACCTGACAAGCTTTTGCAGTTTTGCAGTGTCATTCTTGACAGAAAAACATACTTGTCACATTATTTTTATTTCCAGAAAAACATCTTTCAGATGTATGAGAAATTGATTGGAGCCTGTCTGGAAAACGGCAGCCACTGGACCTTGTTTGTAAGTTGCACAGATTTTGCACTCTCTCTAGTGCATGATACTTTTCAGTGTCCCTCATTAGGAAAGCTCAAGGCCCAAGCCTACCATATCCATCTTTTTACAAAACAGTTTTGTGACATACCCAAGAGGACCATAGTCTATATGAATTCATTTGGCGAGTCGGAGGTCAGAAAAAGTGCGGTGTTGAAAAACTGGAGTAATTAATTAACATATTTAACATAACATATTTAATTTAATTGAAATCATTACCGAACGTGGTTATTGATTTCTCTATATGCTTTTTATTTGTAATAACTGCGATCTCTCAGCTCATTTGCTTCAGCAAGAGGCTGCGCTGGAGAGTGGACCTTGTAATGTTTGCATGCCTCAAACATTAATGATCACACCCTCGGTAATTCTCAGTTCCATTCTTTTATTCTCAGGCTTGCAGCGATAACACAGTCTGCAGCGCTAACTTGTTTCATTTTTTCGTTTCCTGTTCGACCTTTCAAATAAAACATCTGTAAACATCACAATCACCTCCTTTTTTTTTTTTTTTTAACCAAACTTATATATTCAGCGAGGTGAATTATTAATCTGAACCTATGACAACGACACCTAATAAAATTACTGAACGTTCTTTATTACTTGAGTTTCTCCACACCTAAACATCACTTAAACAGCACTGCCGTTTGCACAGATCTGTGACTAAACACTATCAACATTCAACACTATAATACTGGTCACAGTGTTAGATTCAGGAACAACAAACATGTTACACGCAGCGTAACTTTTAGTCTTAGATCTGATGTAATCAGACAGATGCATAGTGCGCGTCTGTTTGATCTGACTGGGGTTATCTGGGCTTGTCTGTTAAGGCGGGTCGACATGCCGTCCAGGTGGGGCATCTCAGTCCATGTCTGATTTTCTTGAAGAATGAGGCATTCCTGACCAATTGAGTGTCCATCCCGTGTAGCTGTAATTTCAGAACCCTTACCTTAGTCACTTTGTAGGGTTTTGCATTGGTATGTGTGGTAATTTGTTGTGCTTGGGTTGGCGATGCAGCACTGTGTCACCCGGACTTAGTGAGTGTGGTCTGGCGTGACGAGTTGCATCTGCGATCACCTTCATCTTGATCTTTGCACTATCATCCCTTGCTCTCACTTCGCATCTGAACACTTCCGTGGAGTGGTGTTAACGAAAGGAGCTTGGTGTATACTGGCGTTGAAACAGTATTCAGCTGGTGAACTCGCTAGTTGTGCTATGAGGTGTAGATCTGTACTCCACGAAGAAAGATGTTTAGCTGCTGTTTCCATGGTGTGCCCTGCGTCTCGGCACTCTCAGTGCTTTACCTAGGTTCTCATGAATCTTCAGCAATGCATTCGCCTGAGGCCAACAAGGTGTGATTTTGCGATGATGGATCCTAGGTAGTCTGCAAACTGTGGAAAAGCCTCACTGTTAAAAGGAGGACCATTGTCAGTTTTTACTGTCCTTGGGATCCCAACATGGAGAACACTTTGTCAATTACTGGGATACAGAAGTGCTGATGTTGAGCGTACACTTTCAACGACTGGATAGCGGATACTCGTCTGTGATGACGAGCAGTATTCCCCCGTAGGGAGTGGTCCATAAAAGTCTGCACTGACACTGTCCAGGGCGTTTCCGGTAATGGTGACATCTGCAGAGGGTCAGTGTGTGTGACAGGTGTGCTAGCTTGGCATGGCAGACAGTTTTGAACTGCAGATTCTGCTTTCCGATCGATCTCTGGGAACCATACTTTGGTACGTAGCAGGCTTTGGTCTTGACGATACCTGGTGCCTTGTGTGCCAGCTGTATTGCTCTTTCTTGTAGGATAGTTGGAATGACTATCCTCGTGCCTCTGAGGATGAAGTCAGATGAGTCGGCTACTGTTTATTCATTTGAACATGTTTGATGATTTCAACATGTCAGCATGCTGGATTTATCTGTTAGATGCCACGTGTTGTTTCTGATGTGACCGATGACTTCCTGCAGAACCTGGTCTTTCAGAGTCTCTGTTTTTATCTCGTGAAGTGTCATGGCTTTTGGGGTGGGGATAAGAGAAGAAATTGACATACTCTTCTGCAACTTACATGCACGAGCACTTTCATTCTCCTGTGTTGGCACGGGTGACGTGACATAAGTCAGCTGGATTATCAGACCTTTTCTGTATTCACTCTGAAGTTATATGGCTGAAGTCTCAGTCCCCAGCTTCTATTCTGGCAGGTGGTTTTGATCTTGGGTTATTCCAGATGATTTCGAGTGCCTTGTGATCGGTCACCAGTGTGAATGGATGTCCATAAACATACAAATGGAATGTTCGCAACTCCACACAATGGCGAGTGCTCTTTCTCTGTCTGCGAGTATCTCGTTTCCACATCACTCAGTGCTCTGCTTGCGTATGCATAATGTGTTTCATCCCCTTTTTCATCTTTTTGACAGAGAATGGCACCCAGTCCTACTGGACTAGCATCAACTATCAGTTCAGTTCTGTCTGCTGGGATAGAGTAGGACATCGTGTGTCGCTTGTGAGACTGACCTTGAGTGCCTGCAACGCAGTTTCTTGGTTGACCCCATGTCCAAGGGTTGTCCTTGTGCGTGAGCCTGCGCAGTGGCTCCAGAGTCCAGATGAGTAGTGAACGTCGTAATGTAGCGGCTGTCGGGTGTAATTCAAGTTGGTGGTATCCTGCCTGAGATCAGTTTTTGAGAACACCATAGATCCATTCAGTCATGGATACATCATCAATCGTGGGCGTGACGTGTCGTTCTCGTTCGATTGCAGTGTTTGCTTGTCTCATGTCCACACATATCCGTACGTCATTCGGATTCTTTGGTTTTGGCAGTGTTACATGGGTGAAACCCACGGTGTTGGTCCTGTAACCTTTTCAATAATGTCTCAGCTTCTAATTTCTGAAGTTCATCCTCACTTTTTGACGTAAATGAAAAGGAACACGTCTGTGTGGTTGACAGGTTGATTTTACATCTGTGTTTATGTGCAGTTTCACTTGAAATCTTTGAGTTTTCCAATTCCCTGGAAAGTTCTGGGTGTTTTTCTACTAGCTTGTCTGCAACAGACGTTGAGACTGAGAAGAGACCGCAGTCACAATATGGAGGAGTCCCAGGCTTTTGAGGTTTCAAAACTCAAAATATTGAAACCTCCTCTTTATGACAAAGAAGGAACACCTAACTGTTTTGTTTGTTTTTCCACACTGCCCTGAATGCACCACACACAGGGGAGACGTAGATGAGTGGTATGGGTAAATCTGATGTCTGTAGACGTCAAAGTAGGACGTGGTGTCAGTTGTTGTAGGTAGTTCAGTTAAGCAGTTAGCAGTGGCCCCAGAATCGATTAGCACCGGTATCTGGGTGCCCATTACTCTGATTTCAGTATGTGGGAGTTTAGGATGTTTAGCTGTGTTCACCACATATACATAGGCGTCATCCTGCTGGATGTGTGCCCTTCTCCACATGTGCAGTGCTATCTGTTACTTGATGAACCGTTTGCCGGTGGAGATTTTTCTATACTTCTTTCCACATGTGTTCTTTTGTCTTTGGAGCGACATTGCTTTGCAAAATGATTGTATTTGCCACAAGAATTACAGATTTTGTCTTTGGCTGGCAGCCTTGCTCATGAGGATATCTGCCTCCACAGTTTCGACAGCGGTTATTCGGCTGCCATGAGGGTGTCCATTTGTTTCTCGCCGTGGTATCACGTCCTGTTTTGTGCTGTACTTTATTAACTGCAGCTGTCTTGTCAGCTTCCATCCCTGTAGCTTGCAATTCAGACAACTCACATGCACGCCTGTGATTTAATAGATCATCCAACGTTAAATCAGGTTCTCTGAGTGCTTTTCTACGCAGCTGTGATGATGTACAGCTTTGGATAATTTGTGTTTTGATTTCTGCAGTCATGTCTGCAAACTCACAGTTTTTGGCTAGAATCCTAAGCCTGGTGTGATAGTTGTCCAACGTTTCACCTGACTCTTGCACCGCTTTCCTGAACAGATAAATCTGATACTGCACGTTTTTCTTAGGCGCAAAGTACACTGACAATTTCTGTTTTGTATCTGCGTACTTGTCGCCATCTGTTGCTAACGTGTCGTAAACGTCATGCACTTTTTCACCAGCCACATGCAGCAATAATGCTCTTAATCTTGCATCTCCAGTAATATTCATTGCGGTGGTGTAGTTTTCAAACCTCTGAAGCCATTTCGTCCATCGAGGTCCGACGGAACCGAGGTCGGTCTCCGTGTCGAAGGGTGGAAGTGGAGTAGCGTGTGCAGCCATGTTCTTGTCTCTTAAGCTCCGGGTAGGGCAACTTTCTTCGTCTTGCTTTGGTTGTAACCTTTACTCTCGTCGCCAATGTAATGTTTGCATGCCTCAAACATTAATGATCACACCCTCGGTAATTCTCAGTTCCATTCTTTTATTCTCAGGCTTGCAGCGATAACACAGTCTGCAGCGCTAACTTGTTCATTTTTTTCGTTTCCTGTTCGACCTTTCAAAATAAAACATCTGTAAACATCACAGACCTTGTCACATGTGAGCCACCCACACCAACAGGATGGGAACTCATGTGGAGTGCATGTCATAATGGTACTGAAAACTATAGCTTTAACCTATATAAGTAATGTTTACTTTTTGCCTATTCAGTTTTTAAAGCCTTAGAGGCAGGATGGTAAAATCTCAATTTTTTTTGTAGATTGAACCATTTCAGCAGTAATGCTTTGCTTTGGTTGCTCTGTTTTTTTTTTTCTTGGGGGGGGTTAAAACAAACAAACATTTCTTTGTTAATCTAATCTTTTTGTTCTTTTTTTTTTTTTTTTTCTTCGTCATTATTAGTTTGCCCAATCTCCATTGACGGTAAAACACAGTGGAGGAGTACAACACTGAATCACAAAGCTCAGGTCCCGACTTTGCCACTACTTATTTCTCATAGGTAAAGATAAATTAGCTGCCTTCTTTTTCTCTAACATTGGAAAATGTAACTTGTACTGAAACAATTATATTTTGCAGATCGAACTAGGAAGTGCAGTCAGTGCTGGTGTGTGATTGCAGCCAAAGACCGGGTACACTATGACATGTCCTTAGCCATATAGATTGTTTATTTAATGGACTTTGTTCATTTGTTTTTTGTTTGTTTATTTCTTCTTCTTTTTTTTTTTTAATTCACAGTGCCAGTGCCAGAATTGGTGCA